TTCGCCTTCGGCTTCTTATTTCCATTTAATCTTTGCTATTTGGAATATAATCTTTTCCTGTTCCACCGTGTTTTTGATTCTTTGGAACTTGTCCAGTGTATTGTGGTCAGAGAATACTAAGCAATAGGATTTAGCCGGGAATTATTCAAGCAAGCGTTACAACACATCATCAATACAAAAATTTTTATTCCTTCACTTTTCGTCTTATCAATTTTATCGTGTCGTACTAGCGTCATTTATCAACTTGAGTTGATATACATTTGGACTAAGACTTGCGTTGATTATAATTGACTGTCCAATAATGTAGTCATTATCGTACTTTTTACTGTTTAGAGTTCATTTCTCTTGTTTTCTTCAGTTATCATTGGTTCATTAACTTACTAGACATTTTCTAGTCTGAACAAAAGAAGATATTCTGTCTTGAACTAAATAATACGTAAATTTTGGTTTAATTATGGTTTAAGGAGTATTTTTACTAGGTTACATAGATTACACCCTGTACACTAATGTACCTTAAATTTAACACGATCATCTAGTCATCAGAAGCCAGGAGTTTGCCGATTAATTTTCTGATATCATCAATCTTAAGAAATATGAAGTATTAATCCCCACTTGCTTAAACATATTGTGATTTACCTCCACCAAAATATTTCATTTAACCTCGTAGCTTCAATAAAATGGTTTTTCAAATTCTCTGTTTCATTAAATATATATAGCCGTTGGTTCAAATCACGATAAAGAAACCGATTAGTAATTGCATCCCGTTGTCAGTACTTCGAAAGTATCCAATAAATTTAGTGTTTAATTTTTGCTCGCAAATACCTATGCGATTTTAAGCACTGATAAAGTATTTATCGGACTAATAACCACTGTTCATTTCTCTGAGTAGGCATTTTTATTCCAGACATGTTATGCTGTGAATATAGTCCGAAAGGACTTGGAAAGATACTTTTACATAGCTTTATATACTACTCATAAGTACGTGAAACAGCATTCTTTAAAAAAAACTTGGATTTTTTTAATGATAAAATTATGTCAAGCATAATATCTATCTTATCTGTTTATTTTTAGGATACTGTTCAGGAAATAATCTTACAACTAACTGAAGGCAGACTAATAATTACACGTGTAGCATCAGTTCTTCTTTGCCTACATGCTTCCAAAGATGTTGGTTTGGGAATGTTACGAGCTAAAATGAATGCTCTAGTACAAAATTTACAAGAACCATTGAGTATTATTGCAGCTTCTTGAAGTTTTTTTTTCAACTGATTTGCATAATAATTTCATTAACTTCCATGATAACTGATTTAATTTATCATGCAAACAATTGTTTTCTTTTGAGACTTTTGTAAATATACACTTATTATTCAATATATTGATGTGTTTTTCTTTGTTTTTTGTGTCTCGTGGTTCATTTTTATGTTGATGTTTCTATTATTGATTTGTTTGTATTAGATTTTGTTTGTTGATAATCTGTCTTTGAATAAATAAATCTTATAATGTTGACTAACATGCCTCGGAGAAACATGTAATCAATTATGTGATTACTATGTTTTGTGTTCTCTCAAATTCTAATCTTCAGAATTCCTCATCATCTCTATCTTTCTCTTTCTAAAGTTATCTCATTGAACTATATCTTCGATCCTTAATACTCTCCATTACCAATAATTCTTCTACTATCTTCACCACTATAGAATTTGAACTGACAGTTGTGTCTCTGTGCTGATGGGGTATGATAACCTGAACTGATGTACGTATGTACGAAGTTCTACGTTCTCATTGACTGACTGACTGAGTCAACTATGTACACATTAATGTCATAGACTGGATTAGAAAAACCTGCTTTCAAGTGTAGTTATACTAACTTCCTTAAAACTGAGTCAAGTACTACAGACTTGTTATTAACCTTTTAAACTTACATTTCTAGAGAGATTAAAGCTTATCTATCCTGTACAAATATATCTTAGCCTTCGTTATTTCAAAAAATGAGCTTGTTGCACTTGTGAGCATATATGTATATTTTAACAAATTGTTCAATTCCTCCCAAAAAATTTTTGCAGACAACATTAAATGACTTAAGGTATTCATCACTATTTTTGGATAGCTGGAGACTTGGTATACAAACTATCATCAATCAATCATTGTTAGACCACCATTAGATGGATGCCGGCCCAGTGGTCCGATGGTAAGGTGTTCGCCTACAATGCCAAAGGTCCCGGGTTCGAATCCTGCGAGGAGCAGGAGTCGTGGATGCGCACTGCTGATAAGTCCCATACCAGGACCAAACGGCCGTCCAGTGCTTCCAGGTTTCTAATGGTGGTCTAACAATGATTGATTGATGATTTCAAATGTTTAAAAAAAATCTCAAACCTCCAAAACTGTGCCCCAAAATACAAACTATCAAGTGAAAATTCTACTCACCAATTTTTTTTCTATAAATAACATTTATAATTGAATAATGGCATCGCTCATTATTTGGAACGCATCTCACAGTGATAATGGCTTTTTTTCACTAAAGTTCAATTATTTTCTTCAAAAAAAACCCATTCATAATGGGTTTCTCACACTAAGAAGTTCATGTTCTCTTAATCAATATCAATGTTCATTATTGACTATAAAATCCAAATAGGTCAACCAAAAGTGATTCAAACCTTAATTAAAATAAACATACATTACTAGTTCATTGAATTATAATATAATTGTCTTAAGTTTAACTAAATAAAACTCAGATGTATGCTTTATGTTAATTAACGCAATTAAGAACAAAAGAAGATTTCAACCACAATATTAACTATATAAGACTTGTTTTTTTTTTTTAATACTTAACCTTGAAAGATAATTGCACTACTGTAGTGCTTAACATATTCATATAAAAAAAATACCAATTAGTATTTAGTCATTTCTTTTTGTTTCTATATATTTGTTGATTGTATAGGATTTGAATGTAATAATCATACTACAATGCTCTCTCTAACATGAATTATTATTTTCAATTATATACAGACCTACGTAATCCAATCAAATTGAAGACAATATTAATATTTAGAAATTAGTTCCTTTCGACAATTACATATATATATATAGACACAGTATAAATATTCCATTATTTTTATTCTATGTCAAATGATACCGACTGCATCATCAATTGATCATAAATCATTTTCAGAAATCATGAATGGTGAAAAGTTTAATTATCAAACAACATATTTTAATGAAGAATCATCATCAATTCAAAATTCAACAGACAATTTGACAAATTCTCAAGCATCAGATATCACAGAACAAACAGAATCTGACTCATTTCAGAATAATGAAAATGACATAGATACATCTGAAATATCCTCTGTTGTGACTACTCCTACTACTACTACTACTACTACTACTACTAAGTCGTCATCAAATGCGGATATTATCACTTCTAATGAGACTGAAGTTGAAAATCATTGTTCACCAATCGATAACAACGATATTAGTTTATTATCTCAGCCAAATTCACATTCTTCAACATATCGTTCACCTGCTCCATTTTGGTATGAACCATTAGCTGTGGCTGCCAACAATGCTTGTGATTATACAATTAAGATTACTTTAGAAATGGCTAAATCAGGTCAAGGTAGGGTAGCATTTTATTTAGTTTTCGTTGTATATATATATAATTTTTATGCTTAAATTCATAAAAGTACATTCAACCATCTATATACTACTAATGTAGTGAACGAGAACACAGGTGGGGGCAACCGGATTGTATTTAACGAAAATTACAGAGTTACTGAGTAAAATCGGAAAACCATATCGTAAATCGTTAATTTGCAAAATATCAGTTCATCATATCGAACTGGACTGTTCCTGTTGCAAAACATCAATCCAATGTCACTGTTCATGCGTTTCATACAAATTCCATTTTGTTCTAACTCTTCCTTTCTCTTGATCTTCCCCTTCTTCTGCTGCCAGACATTACGTTGACACTCACGTCATATACTACTTATAAGTAGCTAGCACCACACTAATATTATTGTATGTTTCCAACACGGATTTTTTTCACTCTGACTTGAGAATCCGTTAAAAATGTGCTTTTATATGTTGGTTATCATCTCACTTACATTCGAAAAAAATCTTCTTTATTGTAAATAACTCTATTTTATTCAATTAATATAAAGCTGAAAGTATTGATGGAAAGGCAATGTAGAAACAGTAGACAAAAATGCAATTACCTATTCAATAGAAAAGCAAATTTTAAAAAATCATACCTCTAGGGTTAATGTGAAATATTCACATATACAAGAAATATGGTCAAAAAAATTCGCAATCTGTTCGTGTCTTAAAGACTAATTGCCAACTTGCGTCACTCACGGCGTAGGCGAGATATCCGTTTGCTAATCAAAGGACGACTGTTCTACGAAGCAGTCTGCTCCAGCCTACTTTATGGCTACGAAACATGGCCATTCAGAATAGATGTTCATAGGTAGCTGATTTTATATCATCGGTGTCTCTGAAGCATTGCTCGTGTATCCTGGGACAATCGAGTAAGCATTGTTGTTGTTAGAAAACGGGTGCTAGGTAAGAATGGCAGGTAAATAGCTGAAGTAATGAAATTCATCAGTTGAGGTGGTTTGGGGATGTGTTGCGTATACCTAACCACCGACTTCCTCGTCCAGCTACATATTTTGCGATGTAGTAATAGGTTGGAAGAAAGCTAAAGGTGGCCTAACCAAAGCATGACACAAACCCATTAATTCACTGATAAGTGGACTGAGTCATGTCGGTAGGTGTCGACTACCTGATTGAGGTCCGTGAGACGATTGTAATCGATGGTTAAAGATCGTGAATGACATAGTGTAAAACCGTTTACAATGGTGCAGGTGCATTTATTCTTTGTGTTCTTTCAAGTCCTAATCCTCTGGATTCTTCATCACTTTTTTCTTTTTAAGTCTATTTCACTAGCTTATACTTCTTGAATGATATCGTCGAACCCTAAAACTTCCGATTACTGCTACCACGTCTACGAATATGGGATTTTAAGTGACAATTACATCTGTGTGCTAATGTGGTGTGGCTGATTGACTTAAAGACCAATAGGTAGGAATGAAAACGATCTCTCTACAATGTGAATGTCTGACATTTCAAAAAAAAGCCTAAGTTAGTTTCTTACACATCTCACATCATAAAGTTATCGGTTAATCTATAACTTCTAACTCAAAAAATCAATATTGGCTACTTACAAAAAACGTATTCATTGAAAGTATATTGTTTATAGGCAAATTAACAGTATTAAATGGTTTTCATTGATTTAAACACCTACAACATTAAAATAAACCAACTGTTGTTTTCATTAGAATCGATCAATTAATTAACAAACAATACTCACTGCCAGTGAAACTCAAATTCTTATTGATTATTTTACTTGTAATAATGATACGTAATTCAAATAATGTATTACCGTAAATAGATGACCTGAATTGTAAAAAAAACAAACAAGGCGTTAAGCAAAATATATTGCGTAACTAATTTTTTTTGGAAACTTTTACGACTAATCCACACTGTTCTACAGTTTTTTTTATTCAAGTTTTCTCGCTTCGATATGTTTTGTTGACATTAGTAAAAGTTAGTTTGAAAAGAAAATGACGATTATCGCTTGACATGCTATCAACGTATTAAGCTGTTGATTGCTGATTTTTTTGCCACTTGTCAAAATGTATAACATTGATGCATCCTCATATTCATCGTGGCATAGATGAAAATATTGACTGCAGTACAGTGACACATCAGCTAGGACGCAGCTAGACGATCTGGACTTCGCAGATGACCTGGCTCTTCTATCTCACACGCAACAACAAACGCAAGAGAAGACGACCAGTGTAGCAGCAGCCTCTGCAGCAGTAGGTCTCAACATACATAAAGGAAAAAACAAAATTCTCCGATGCAACACAACATGCACCAACCAAATCACTCTTGATGGAGATGCCTTGGAGGACATTAACACCTTTACATATCTGGGCAGCATCATCGACAATCAAGGTGGATCCGATGCAGATGTAAGGGCGCGGATAGGCAAAGCAAGGGCTGCATTTCTACAATTGAAAAATATCTGGAACTCCAAACAACTTTCAACCAAAACCAAAATCAGGATTTTCAATACAAATGTGAAGACAGTTCTACTGTATGGAGCAGAAACTTGGAGAACTACGAAAGGCATCATCCAGAAGATACAAGTGTTTATTAACAGTTGTCTACGCAAAATACTTCGTATTCGCTGGCTAGACACGATCAGCAGCAACGTACTGTGGGAGAGAACAAAGCAGATTCGAGTGGAGGAGGAAATCAGGAAGAAGCGTTGGAAGTGGATAGGACACACATTGCGGAAAGCACCTAACTGCACCACAAGACAAGCCCTCACTTGGAACCCTCAAGGCACAAGGGAAAGAGGAGGGCCAAGGAACACATTACGCCGAGAAATAGAGAAAGATATGAATTAACAAAAATTGGACAGAACTGGAGAGGGAAGCCCAGGACAGAGTTGGTTGGAGAAAACTGGTGGGTGGCCTATGCTCCATTGGGGGTAACAGGCGTAAGTAAGTAAGTACAGTGACACATGCGCTGTTGTTCTTTACCTCTTTCTAAACTTAAACATCTTAGTAGTTTATGTCTGTTTATCTTTTGTTTGATAAAAATATTTACTATTTGTCTCGATATACTTACGTTTCTTCGTCCGATTTCTACTGTCTGTGCTAATTAGTTAGTACAATGGATTTGTAGGTATGTAATCCTGTTTTTGTTAACATCGTTGTCATGAACGTTATTATTAATAAATGGCGTTTTAAAGTATGTTTTGATTTGAAAAGTTGGTTTACCATTAGTTTGTTATGACTTACAATTCGATCTACGCTATAGTTCGTCTATTTTTGTTGTTGTGTAAACTGAATATACCTATTCAGATATGAAATAGAAACGCTTAGTTCAGCGAAGTGTTCTGTTTTCGGTGAATTCATTTTCAAAGCTGTACAAATGGTTATAGTAGCAACAAAAAAAACCTGGTAATAAGGTATCCAGACAAAGGCATAGTTGTAGTACTAATAGATCGTAAGATTTTAGATCGACAGTATGATAAACCTAATATCAAATTACATCAAATTCTCCGAACAAAGCAGTAGGACGAAACTGATCGAAAAGCAATTGAATGAGGTTCTTAAGAGAATGTAAAATGATCATGTAATCAACAATGATATCTAGGAGTGTATAAAGCCAACAACATCAACAATGCTCCGACTATATAGTCTGTTTAAAGTAAACAAACCTGGCCCAACCTTCGTACCAATTTTTAATATGAATGGGACTGTTTATCACTACTGTATAGTAAAAAAACTGGCAGAAGTGGGACCTGTAAGAAAACGTATTTATATACTTTACTTGACACTTGAATTCATTGATTCTTTGAAAGAAGTAAATGTACATGACAAACTTATCCTCTTGATGTCGAATCATACTATTCACGAATGTCCCACTCACTGAGACCATTGGTTTTATCTGCAAATACGTAAATGATAATCGGATTAATATCTGGCTATCAAAATCTTGTTTAAAGTAATTACTATTATGATGCACTTTTAATGTACTATTTACAGACAAAATGATGATAGCATAACAGATTGTTTCATGGCTTTCATGGCGATCAACTTAAAACAAGTATTGACAACTCTAATTTATGATGTCTTTATCATTTGTGACAATAAATATGATTTCAATCATCTACATACTTATAGGAACTGTTACTAGACAATAAATTTCATACTAACAGTTGAAAATCAAAGAGTAATCATTTTTTTCTTTGATGTTGAAGTAACAATAAAACACAATAGAACCCTAGAAATATCTATCTACAGGAAACACTTGCGGAATGACTAGTTAACAAAGAGTAATTTAATTATACCCCTTGCTACTCGGATATAAAGAATTAGTAGTCCCGATGTCATAGATGATAAACGGAACCTACTAGAGAACATACTTATCGAGTCAGTCAGTCAGTCAGATGCAACGTAGAACTTCGTACGTAAGTACATCAGTTCATGTCGCCATACCACATCAACACAGAGATATAATTGTCAATTCAAATCCAATAGTAGAAGAGGTAGTGAAGGTATTAGAAGTAATCGGAGAGGTTAGGATTAGAAGATATTATTCATGAAGTATGATTAAATGAGATAAGTTTAGAAAGTAAAAACTAGAGGTGTTGAAGAATCCAGAATATTAGGATTTGAGAGAACACAAAGAATAAATGCACTGGCGCCATTGCGAACGATTTTGAGCCATGTCCTTCAAGGTCTCTAGCCATCGATTATTATCATCTCGCGGACCCCAACCAGGTAGTCGACAATTACCGACATGGCTAAGTCCACTAGTCAATGACTTCATGGATTTCTGCCATGTTTTGGTCTGGCCGCCCCTAGCTTTCTTCCAACCTATTCCTACACTACAAAACAAAGCTCGACGAGGGAGTCGCTGGTTAGGCATACGCAACACGTGTCCCAACCACCTCAACTGATGAAGTTTCACCACTTCATCGATTGGTCTGCCATTCTTACCTAGCACCCGATTCCTAATAACAGCGTTGCTCACTCGGTTGTCCCAGGATATACGAGCAATGCTTCGAAGACATCTATGATCGAAAACCAATAACCGACGAGTATCTTCTACTCTCATTGGCCATGTTTCACAGCCATAAAGTAAGACGGAGCGAACCACTGCGCAGTACACTCGTCCTTTAGTCAGCAGACGGATATCTCGCCTACGCCATAAGTGACGCAGGTTGGCAAAAGCCAATCGAGCCTTCTGTATCCGTGCCGAGATTTCGTCAGTCACCAGGCCATCGGCACTGATGAGACACCCGAGATAAGTGAAGCGGTCTACACGTTCGACTACTTCACTCCCTATCACTAGTTCAGGTGCCGTTGCAACCCAATCTTGAAGCAACATTTTGCATTTCGAGGGGGAAAACCGCATCCCGAACATGCTTGCATTGTTGCTTAGGGTAGTCAGAAGACTGCATTTTGTCAGCATCTTCACCAAGTAGGACTATGTCATCGGCATATTCTAAGTCAATAAGCGAGCCACCTGGTAAAAGGTCTACTCCAGAAAATTCAGACGAGGATAAGGTTATTTCTAGGAGCATGTCTATGATAAAATTAAACAAGAATGGAGAGAGTGGACATCCCTGACGGACACCACTTGAAGTAGAGAATTCCGTTGACAGTTCGCCATAAGCTCTCACTCGACCAGTGGTGTTTGAGTAGAGAGCTTGTATGAGGTTAATGTACTTATTTGGTACACCTTTCAATGACAGACACTGCCACAGAACCTCACGATCCACTGAGTCAAATGCCGCCTTAAGGTCCAGGAAAACAACTATCGTAGGACGCCTAAATGTGTGTCTGTGTTCCAAGACCTGTCGTAGTGTGAAAATGTGGTCTATACAGCCACGTCCAGGTCGAAAACCAGCCTGGTTTTCTCGAGTCTGCTCTTCACGAGCTTTCGTTAAGCGTCGAAGTATTATTGAGGCCAATATTTTAGATACTATATTAGTTAGACTTATTCCCCTGTGATTGTCACAAGAAGACTTCTGTCCTTTCTTATAGATTGGGACAATCAGTGATTGAGACCAGTCGGATGGGATTACGTCCAGTTCCTAGATTCTACCTAAGATCTCAGTCAACCTAGCTGCTAAAACTGGACCACCATCCTTAAATATCTCAGGGGTCAGCTCGTCCTCGCTTCAGATTTCCTAAAGCTTTTTCAACTTCATTAAGACTAGGGGGACTTACGTCGATTTGCCATTCATGATGACTGGAGATCGTGGGTAACCGAAGAGTGGCTCGAGGCCAATTGAACTGATCCCTAAAGTGTTCTGCCCATCGATCCAGTCTCCTGGATTGAGAATAAATAATAGTCCCGTCATTTTCTGAGATAGTCTCGCTTACACTAGGATTCCTAATACCAGTTTCCTTGATAAGTCGGAAAAGTTGTCTACTGTTGCCTATCGTGGCTGCCTTTTCCATCGCTTTTGCTTTCGCCACCCACCACTGTTCGCGATCGTTACGTAGGCTTTTTATAAGTCTGCGCCTAAGTTGACTTCGTTCTTCATCATGTTCAGAGCCAGGTGGGATGAGTTTTCGAGCATCCATCAGATCGGTGGATGCTACTGAGATCCACGGTTTCATTCTAGCCTTATGGTCAACCTTACTAGCAGATATCACTGCTGTTTCCACAGCCTTTTTGATATCATTCCATCCTGCTTCCGGATGGGAATCGCTTATATGGTCGCCTAACTGTCTTTCTAGTTGTTCCTGAAATATATTTTTCGCCTTATTATCATTAAGTAAAACCCTAAGAGGCTTCCTTACGGTGTCTTTCCTACGCCCATTAAGCTTCAAACAAATACGCGCTCGCACTAGGGCATGATCTGAATCTAGACATGTGCTCCAGAACGAGCGACAGTCCTCTATCGAACCCCTCCATCGGTGGCTGATGGCAATGTGATCTAGTTGAGTCCAACGTTGAGACGACTTTGCAGGTCGCCAGGTCAACAGATGCTTTTCCTTATGCCTAAAGTTAGTGTTTGCTAAGAATAGGCGGTTGTCTGAGCATATTTGCAACAGACGGTCACCATTGTCTGTTCTCTGAGCCGGGACACCATAACATCCACCTAGGTGTCTCTCCTGCTCACTTAGTCTACCTACTTGAGCATTAAAGTCACCAGCCATTATTACTATATCAGAGCGCCTAGCTTTTTGGAGGAGGTCCGAAAGCTTTCTGTAAAACTCATCCTTAACCTCGTCTGAACTGCATTCAGTGGGGGCATAGGCAGATACGACGAAGAGGCAACGGCGAGTGTCCCTATCTTTCCGAGTCCTTACTGTCCCGTTTAGTCGGACAGCGCACAATCGACTATCTACAGGGACATACTTATGGAAAACGGATATCTATCGGTATTTACTGATACGAACCTAAAACTCACACCTAAAGCACAAATAACTTCCGTGCCAAAACAAAACTTGTATAAACATCAATTCCAAAGGTGATGTAACTACAGGCGTCCTGAGGAGAAGAATTTTTGCCGCCCAATAGAACATTCTTTGTACCAACTCTGCGATGAATGTTCTATAGTCTTCCACTGTTCAGTTACAATCTAAAGGACAAGTTACCTCAGTTGACCGATTTCATGTGCACTTATCAATTACTTGTTAATATAAAGCTAGGTATATGGGTCACTCAGTGTGCATTTTACTCAAGAGAACTCAAGAACATTGCCCTGCTTGGTTAAAAATAAGAGAAAAGATCGGTTGACCTTGAGATTTCAATTCCCACCAGGAAAATCTGTGGCTGTGCTTGGCTGCTGTGTATTTTAGTGTGCTATTTTTGTGACTCCCCCAAGGATATCTCTATGATGTATAAATAAACGAGAGTTGTATGCTTGATTGTACTGTGATTGCTGGGTGTTTGTAGAATATACTTTCTACGCTTACAAAGCCTTCTTACTTTAGTTTGGGATTCAAGGTAGCCTACCTGGACGCTGGTAATTGTCTCGTTCGCGTTTATCGACTAAGGTAAACTCGTAATAGCCTCAAGCATACTTAGTGACGAACCCAATATTTGTAAAACCCTCTTACTCAACCATTGTCTTCGTTTCTCGTAAATTTATTATTATTATTACTACTTATTTTCTTCTTTCAAAGCCATCTGATTCTCTTCTATGTTTTTCTGTAGGACTTTTTACTCTCAACTGATTTATTGCTGTTAACAGTTGATTTCAATTTTAATGTTATGTCTCCCCTTTCTATTTGTAATTCTTTATCTCTATTCATAATGATTATTCAAGCTTAATAAAAATGATGTCTTTTTATCCCTTTACCGTTATGTTACCATATTTATCATTATTATTGTCATTATCATCAGCTTGAAAAATAAATATACATTTGCAATTGTACAGCTTTGTAAATGAATCCACTGAAAAAAAGAGAACTCTTCATTGAACTTATTTATCTTTCTAATCTTTCTTCTTATTACTAAATATGGTATTTGATAGAATCAAACCATCGATTAAATTGACAATATTCATTTCAACTCATTTAAGTGGTACAAATTAGTTTACTTGATTTTAAACCACACTAAATATAAGGGCTAGTAATACTACCCAAATACCCAAAAGTAAAGAAGTTGAAACAGACTGAAAATCAATGGCTAAACGCTGAATGATGCCTTAACCACTGAGTCAGTCAGTCACACAACATACAACTTAGCATATAAGTGCATTGGTTCAAGTTACCACATCATATCAACAAGATAATTTGAAAACTTAAAATCTAAAGGAAGGTGGATTTTTTGTTATATATTGCATAACACTCAGTTGTACGTATACATGCAATAAATTTTGTTGTTACACGTCTTCGAATCTCCACAAAATTGTTTTCTTTAATGCTTTGCTATTTTAGCTCCTAGACCAGTACGTGTTTATGCAGATGGAGCATATGATATGTTTCATTCTGGCCATGCACGTCAATTAATGCAAGCGAAATGTGCTTTCCCTGATACTTACTTAATTGTTGGTGGTAAGTTTAATTTGATTATTGATGTTTGATTGGACATCTTATGAGATGATCGTTTTAAAGTGACTATATTCTCGTTGATAATGCTCTATAAATTTAGATAGAATTTAATTGTAATCCCAATTTGCTACACCAATTAAAGAAAATTAAGTTTTGGCAGTAAGATGATCTCTTCAGCCTGTCCGTTAGGTATGGTTTACAGTTTAAGTATCAAGTGACATTCGAGATTACTAAGTTACATTGTATAAAATATTATTTTACTATTTTTTTTATCAAATCAACATCGTTGTACTGATTTATTTTCCACTTTAATTCATGTACTTCAATTTTTTTTTTATCTCAGTCTCAAATGATGCAGATGTTCATCATTACAAAGGTCGTACAGTTATGAATGAGAAAGAACGTTATGAAGCTATACGACATTGTCGTTATGTAGATGAAGTTATCAATGATGCTCCTTGGTCTATTACAAGTGAATTTTTACAGAAACACAAGGTAACACTAACTAACTAGTACAGTAGTATTAATTGCTATCTTTGTCACTGCTTTGTTATTCTTTTTACTATATATCTCATTAATTTCATCTTGTGTTGATTTGGTAATGACAACTAGAAATATGATATTATTTATGCCCAGACTTTACGTTTTTTTAATGATTAACTGATTAGATTTATTCTACTACTTTTTTGGCTTCATAACTAAGAGCACTTAACTTACAGCCGATAAATCGGTCACTTGCTCGTATTTCTTTGCATTTGCCGCTATTTAGGCAGTGTGACATAACATCATTAAACCTTATAGATAATGTGGCCCAAAGCAGAGCACATAAACCTGTAGTTGATAAATAATGTGCTGCATAGTCACAGGTATATTTTTGTATATTTATTTTGGTGAGCAGTTTTCGCGTAATTATTTTCACGTACACACCTAATACACTACTATCCTGAACATCGTTTTTGCTCACTAGTTGGCATCATCTTATGCCAAAAAATACTAGTAATTTGCGAATAAACTCTACCTTAAGAGGTGCTATATATAGATTTTGTGGCTATAAATTACAAAATACATTATTGTGTAGTGTACTCACCTTTTAATAATTAAACAAACAATTAACCTTCACAAAAATGGTACTGTCAAACAAATACCATTAAGGTTCAACCATTATTATTAGTTTATTCTACAGTTCATTCCTTATATCACTTTAATACTATTTACGTATGTGTAATGCTCAGGGTTTTTATACTGCAACTTTTTAATACATGCATAAATGTGGCCAGTTTTTTCATACATAACACTATTCAATCGAGAATAGTTAGTTTTCTTGTATTACTATTAATTGAAATATGGATAAATTCTCTGAATTTATGCGACTGTACAAGATGAACCATCAGATTTAATTGAAAAACTGAAACGGTCAACATGGTTAATTGCAGTCTTTTCTCACCGACTGCCTCGACGAGCTTTGTTTTGTAGTGTGGGAATAGGTTGGAAGAAAGTTAGGGGTGGCCAAATCAAAACATGGCAGAAATCCATGAAGTCATTGACGAGTGGACTTAGCCATGTCGGTAATTGTCGACTACCTGGTTGGGGTCCGCGAGATGATAATAATCGATGGTTAGAGACCCTGAATGACATGGATCAAAATCGTTCGAAATGGAGCCGGTGCATTTATTCTTTGTGTCCTCTCAAATCCTAACCTTCTGGATTCTTCAACAACTCTAGTTTTGACTTTCTAAACTTTTCTCATTGAATCATATTTCTTGAATTATATCTTCTAAACCTAAGCTCCCCGATTACTCACATGCATAAATGTGGCCAATTTTTTTCATACATAACACTATTCAATCGAGAATAGTTAGTTTTCTTGTATTACTATTAATTGAAATATGGATAAATTCTCTGAATTTATGCGACTGTACAAGATGAACCATCAGATTTAATTGAAAAACTGAAACGGTCAACATGGTTAATTGCAGTCTTTTCTCACCGACTGCCTCGACGAGCTTTGTTTTGTAGTGTAGGAATAGGTTGGAAGAAAGTTAGGGGCGGCCAGACCAAAACATGGCAGAAATCCATGAAGTCATTGACAAGTGGACTGAGTCGTGTCGGTAGATGTAGGCTACGTGGTTTGGGTCCGCGAGATGATAATAATCGATGGTTAGAGACCTTGAATGACATGGCTCAAAATCGTTCGCAATGGCGCCAGTGCATTTATTCTTTGTGTTCTCTCAAATCCTAATCTTCTGGGTTCTTCAACACCTCTAGTTTTGACTTTCTAAACTTTTCTCATTTAATCGTACTTCTTGAATAATATCTTCTAATCCTAACCTCTCCGATTACTTCTAATACCCTTACTAACTCTTCTACCATTGGATTTGAATTGACAATTACATCTCTGTGCTGATGTGGTAAGGCAACCTGAACTAATGTACTTTCGTACGACGTTCTGCGTTGTATCTATCTATAATCGCAGTCTTTTCCCACCTGCTACATTCCATTCTCAATTAACCATTGAAATATGAATGTACCAAAAAAAAAATTAAAATCTTCATTAACACCTCTATTTTTTACTCATCAATGTTATAACTTAATCGTCACCTTTTTTTCTGATTGACATCTTCACATGTAAGCGCATCCAATCAGTCTTTGTAATTTGTATATCATACACAAATGTTTAACTTTAATGTCTTTCTTTTTTTTTTTTTAAATCTTCAAATTCTCACACACAGATTGATTTTGTTGCACATGACGACATTCCATATGCATCACCTGACAGTGAAGATGTGTACAAACCGCTGAAAGAGGCTGGCATGTAAGTTTTTTTTAAACTTTTCTTTTTGTTTTCTACAGAAAATGAGTTTGGTTCATTGTTCCACTGCAAGTACTGATTTATTACAAGATATCAAAGTGATTTGCTTACATATTATGTTATATTATAAATATAATGTCGGTTTAAAAATTTCCAAATTCAAGTGGAAAAAAAACCCAATCGTTATCATGTAATTGTCATTTGAAATTGTGACGTCTTAAATGAAAGCTACAATGAAAATAATGATGGCGAAATTGATTTGAAAATAATTTTTTTACATTACCAATCAAACGTAGAATAAAATTGTTTGAATTCAATCTTAATTTTTGAGGGAAAAAAACTTTTTAACATCATATATATATGGTTTTGATTTTCTAGTGTTACTATAATAACAATTAATATTATGTATTTCATTGTTGTAAACGACGAGCGATGTTTTGTGATGTGTAGGGTTCGACTGGAAGAAAGTTAGGGGTGACCACACCGAAACATGACACCAATCCTTGAAATCAGTAACAACTAGACTGAGTTGTGTTACTACTTGTGTAGACTGCGAGGTTGGGTGGGGTCCGCGAGACAATAGTAACTGAAGGTCAGAGACCGTGAATGATGAATCGTTTGCAAAGAATCAGGTGTATCCATTCTTTGTCGCCTCTCTTTTAATTTATTTCACTGACTTATACTTCTTGAATAATTTCTTCGAATCCTAATCTTTTTGATTACCGCTATTACTTCTATTACTTCTACATTATGGAATTTGAACTGATGTATGCATGAAAGAAGCTCTATGTTGTAGCTGACTGACGAAATGTAGTCATATCACTTTTCAGTAGGTTTGTACAAAATTTCCCCTTTTTAAATTGAGATAAAATACTACTAACAACAATAATGTTAGTTGGTTGGAGGTAGTCGGTTGGAAACCATGGACATAGATTTCATGTTATTCGGCATTCTTTGGCAAGGTGCATCCGTGATAATGTTGCAGACTGTGTAACTGGGTGACGTAGATTCATATCGCACAGGTAAGAATCCATTCTCTCAAGGTACGCCTTGTCAAATTTGGATCCACCAGACACCTTGACTTCTCATCCCTTATTATTATTTGAAGTTTGAATTACGGGATACATTCCGATTCCATGATTTAAAGGTAACCTATGTGTCACGTACTCGAACAAAAGAGCTGTTCACTACATCCTGGCTTTCAGTGATACCTACCCCATCAACTGACTCCAATCCATAACGAATTCTCTCTAAGCTACTAAATATTTCAACCCTTATCTCTTAACCTAGTCCTCTTCACACTTCAAAGTCTACAGTGTTACACTTTTCATCTTTTCTTCCTCATATTTAGTTATTCCCAATGATCAACTGATTCCTGAATTCAAATTCATACTAAAGTGTTTCATTTTAGTCTCTCATATTTGGGTAATCAATTAAAATAATCAACTGATCGGATATTTCTTACATACAACTTATTGGTAAATTGTTAACTAGCTCTCATGTAGTTAATATTAAATTGTATGTATATTTTAGGTCCTTAAAACCAAGATTCCATCTATGCTGGAGTAATTATTTCTAACAATTAACCAATCTGAAGTCATCAATCAATCATTGTTAGACGACAATCAGAAACCTGGAAGCACTGTATGGCCGTTTCGTCCCGGTACGGGACTCATCAGCAGTGCGCATCCACGACTCCTGCTCCTTGCAGGATCCGAACACGAGACCTTCGGTATTGTGCGCGAACGCCTGACCATCGGACCACTGGGCCGGCATCCAACAGTGTTTATGTCTAACTCCAAAACTCTGCCCCAAAATATCGTAACAGTGCTCGCTATTGACTAGCTTCGTGAGGAGTTCCTCGGAGTTCTAGTGAGAAGACGTGACCAGTGGATTTCAAACCTGTCGGGTGTAGGCAGTAACTACCAAAGACAAATGGGTGAGGTCGCGCAAAATCTGTAGATCAATCAGAGTTAGACATTAACACCGTTGAATGCCGGCCCAGTGGTCCGATGGTAAGGCGTTCGCGCACAATACGGAAGGTCTCGGGTTCGGATCCTGCGAGGTGCAGGAGACGTGGATGCGCACTGCTGATGAGTCCCATACCAGGACGAAACGGCCATACAGTGCTTCCAGGTTTCTAATTGTCGTCTAACAATGATTGATTGATGATTTCAAATGTGTAAAAACACAAACCTCCAAAACTCTGTCCCAAAATTAACCAATCGACTGAGTTGTGTTGTATCATTTTTATTTGATACATGCTACGTTTGTTCTTCTTGCTCCATTTGAATTTATCATTGTGAAAGACCATGAAATATGCCATTACTTTACTAAAAAACACTGATGTAAGTTTATCACTACTACGACATTGAAAATTATTGATTATCGCCCAGAATTATTCCGATTTCATTTTGTTACATCACCCATTTGAACGCTAAATTTGTGTTTGTATGATATTAACGATATTAAAACGAAACAGCCGACCAGTGCTTCCAGTTTTCCAATGATGGTCTGTCATTGATCAGTTCATGATTCCAATTAATACGTTATGTTATGCTAAAATAGATGTAGAAAGGGAAATGCATGTAACTAACCCTAACCCTAACGGCAAATCATAAAATCAATGATCGTTGTCATTTAACCCGTTGAAAAAATAGCAAGTCGCCTAATTGTTTGTTTCTTCACTGGATGATAAAAATCATTCTTAAGATAACTTGGGGATATAACAAAGAGCAATCCATGAAGTCATTGACAAGTGGACTGAGTCATGACGGTAGTTGTCAACTACCTGGTTGGGGTTTGCGAGATGATAGTAATCGATGGTTAGAGACCCTGAATGACATGGCTCAAAACCGTTTGCAATGGCGCAGGTGCATTCATTTTTTGTGTTCTCTCAAACCATAAACGTTTTAATTCTTCATCACTTTATCTCTATTTTTTTAAGTATATTTCACTAGTTTCTACTTCTTGTCTAATATCTTCTAATCCTTACCTCTCCGACTACTGCTAATACCTCTACTACTATTGGATTTAAATTGACAATTACATCTCTGTGCTAATGTGGTATGACAACATGAACTGATGTGCTTATGTACGAAGTTCTACGTTGCACCTGACTGACTGACTGACTATAACAAATAGCCATTTTACTTACTATCTACGTGTTCAGTCTGTATCGATATATGGTTGTGAAACATTCACAAGTAATAAACATGTGTAAGGTTCAAGCATAATTTTGATATAATGGTACAACCGAGTAAATAATGCTGAGGTGTGTATTGTGTTTCTAACGCATGTAGGCAACGCTGTTGCCTTCAGAGTAATCGTGGTTTTTAGAATATGTTTCAAACACTGTTTTTATTCCTCCAACCTCACACTCAACAGTCGAGATGTATCGTCAACATAAACTGCATTGTTATCCTGACAACTGACTTGATAGACAATGTTCTATTGTTCTTCCATTGGAAGATTCTTTAGCTTTCATTGACACCGATCTTTGATGGGACCAAAATACTTCAGAAACGGTTTATACCACTTAAAGAAGGATTGATTGTAGGAATGATATATGTAAGAGCTAATCAGAAACAGCTTCAATAGAAAAGATAGTAATCAACTAGTCATCCCATGGCAAATGACCGTTCACGAGTAGTTGGATCTCATCTGCATCTATCTTGTTTAATTCACATGCAAACATTGATTGAGCGTTAATTAATTAATTAATTTTAACATTCTATTCATCACAACTATGTAAGTGGTAATTTGCAATTTACTTTAAAAAATCATTTATAATTGCACTCTAATGTTTACATTTAATAAACAAGTGACTGAACACATTCGTTCATCGAATTTTGACTAATATTAACATAAATTTACACATATACACATAAGCATGCTCATTTATTTTTTTTCACATTGTGAACGTTTCACATGATGCGCATTTCAATTGACGAATGTTGTCCTACTTACTAAAATTAACATCTGACTGGATGATTGAATAAACAACATTTAATGTAAACTTGATTTTATTGTCAAAAGTAATACATTCTTTGATAGTTTTGATTATTATTATTACCCCAAAGAAGTTCAGACAAGAATAGCTGAACAAAAAATTGGAATAAACATGACAAAAATTTATGAAGCTACTGACAATTGGTGTAGATTATTTCGTTAGGATCTGCAAGACAATATAGCCATAGGTGGTTAGAGTTGCCGCACCACATTAGTACAGAGACATAATTGTAGAGATATTCGAAGTATTAGCGGTAATCGAGGAGATTAGAGTTCGAAGAAATTATTAAAGACATATAATTCAGCGAAATAAATTTAGAAAAAGTAAGATAGAGATGATGAGTAATTCAAAAGATTAGCATTTGAGAGAACATAAAGAATGGGAGCACCTGCGCTATTGTAAATGATTTTGAGCCGTGCCACTCATAGTCTCTAACCATTAGTTACGGTTGTCTCGCAGACCCTAACCAGTGATTCTACACCTACCAACATGGCTTATTTCAGTTGTTAGCGACTTTATGTATATGTGCCGTGTTTTGGTTTGGCCGCCCTTAACGTTCTCGCAGTCTACGCCTACACCACATCACATAGCTCGTCGAGGCATTCGGTGGTTAAACATATGTAACACATGTCCCAACCACCTCAACTGATGAAGTTTCATTAGATAGATAGACAGATAGATAGATAATATGTGACTCATTATGCTCAAGTCATTACAATCCATACTTGTATTACTGGAGTGTAGTATGTATGTATGTATGTAGTATAACAGAGAAACCAATGTACAATCAAATAGAGGCTTAGCAATAGGAACATTTTTCCTCCAAACCTTCGGCTAGAGATTTAAATCTCAATTTAGCTAACTGGTGTTCATATAAAATAGTATGGATCAAAGTCCAATACGTAAACTGGGTTGTACTAAATTTTTAAAATATTTTTCTAACCATGAAAGTCGTCTATAAGTGGGTGGTTCTAGTATTTTTTTTTTACAGTCTTTTTTGTTGATCTTATTGTTTTATAGCCAATACTAATGAACTTCATCCCTGTGAATGCACTTACTCCTCTGTCACCGATTCAGAGCTTACCTCATCCAACATCTAGAATCCATTGTTCGTGATAATTGACCAAACCTCAACTGGATTGTTTTCACCTTACTAACAAGACTAGTAGTATAATACTAATAAACTCAATACTATCAAATTATCTAAACTAAAGCAACTAAAACTAAATTGAAATTATTGATTTAATAATTTAAAATCAATTAAATATAAACCATCAAACTACTCAATTAGTCATATTAGTAGTTATATATTGTTGTGTAAAAGTTTTCAGTCGAATGCTTACCTGACACATTCCATATTCAAACCATTTAGAATTTATCATGATTTTATAGTCTTTCAAAACTAATTTAACATGTTTGTTTCATTGCTAACTTCTTCTTTCTCTTCCTCTCTTAAATTATCAATGTTGAAGATGGTACTCAATCAATATAAGCTTCAGTCAGTCAGTTGCAACGTAGAACTTAGTACGTATGTACATAAGTTCATGTTGCCATAGCACATTAGCACAGAGACGCAGATGTCAAATCAAATCCCATAGTGATAAAGATAATAGAGGTATTAATGGCAATGAAGAAGACTAGGGTTTGAAGATATTATTCAAGAAGTATAGTTCAGTGAGATAAGGTTAGAAAGACAAAGGTAGAGGTGCTGACGAATCCAGAAGATTAGGATTTGAGAGAGCTGAAAGAATGGATGCACTTGCGCCATTGCAAACGATTTTGAGCCATGTCGTTCAAGGTCTCTAACCATTGATGACTTTCGTCTCGCGGACCCCAACTAGGTGGTCTACATCAACCAACATGACTCAATCCACTAGTCAGTGACTTCATGGATTTCTGCCATGTTTTGGTCCAATATAAGCTAAACCATATTGTATTCCTGATCAAGTTATTTTTTTATTTGTTTGTTTGTGTACTCGAATGTTTCTTGTCATATTTAATTAATGAATGAATTATTTTGTCAACCTAATAATTTTGTGCTTTTCAAAACTTGACTTAGTCACTTATTCACTATCCAAGGTAGATTGCATTTTATATTGCATTAATAATAAGTAAGAGTAGAAAAAAATTCTTTATGATTTATGATGCTTTAAGATGATTAATTATCATTGTTTTCAACAGTTTTTTCCTTATTTATTTCTTACAAGACTTTGCAATACTGATAGTAATTTAATCTACCCACTTTAAAAAAAACAACACCAGATTACAAGTTATCTTTTTCTGATTGTATTGGAGATTATTTTGTTGTTCAATTTTCAACTTCCCATACTCTGTAAATGTCACCAATCTATTTCGTATTATTATTATTATTATTGTTCTAATTACATAACATTTTGCGTGTTATAAAATGTGTAATATAAATTTCTTTTTTACACATTTGAAATCATCAATCAATCATTGTTAGATCACCATTAGAAACCTGGAAGCACTGGACGGCCGTTTCGTCCTGGTATGGGACTACTCATCATCAGTGCGCATTCACGACTCCTGCTCCTCGCAGGATTCGAACCCGGGACCTTTGGCATTGTAAGTGAACGCCTTACCATCGGACCACTGGACCGGCATCCAACGGTGTTAATGTCTAACTCTGATTGATCTAGGGATTTTGCGACCTCACCCATTTGTCTTTGTCAACACTACAGGGTTGAACTCCATCGGTCACGTCTTCTCAACTAGAACTCCGAGAATTTCCTCACGAAACTAGTCACTAGTGAGCACTGTTATGATGATTTCAAATGTGTAAAAACGCAAACCTCCAAAACTGTGCCCCAAAATAAATTTCTTTCTTTCGTTGTAAATCTCTTCCTTATAAAATTCACATACTCGATTCATTTTTTTTCCATTTATGTATTATGTATTATTAAGGTTTCTTGTAACTCAACGTACAGAAGGAATTTCTACTACTGATGTAATTGGACGAATTGTACGTGATTATGATATTTATTTAAGAAGAAATATACGACGTGGATTATCTCGTAAAGATTTAAATATTAGTTATATGAAAGTAAGTTGATTTCATAATTTATTACTGGTAAATATTTGTGTATATATATAAATGCACTCTATTCAGTTCATAATTTTCAAATCCTATTTTATTTTCTTACTAACATATTTTATAACATGAAACTTTTGTGAATAGTTTTTCTTCCTCAGTATATTTATTTTCAAATACTCTGAGGGAATAATGTGTATTGATGTTTATTATATCACTGAACAAGGTAATCAAAAAGAGATAAGATACATACGTATCCATGGCGTTGTAGCACGATTAAATGTTCAATATTTGTGTGATAACAAGTGTTTTCGGTCATTTTTACGTTGTTTTTTACTGAATGACTGTTGTACATAAAGGCTTAATTATCACTTCGTTCGTTTGCTGTTCTCATGCGGCAAGTTGAGTTACACTACATTAGTGTATATTCAGTAAAGACTTTAGCCTTCAAAGACTGAAATGAAATCCCCAATGAAAATCATTCTCTTATGAGCAATGCTAACGGATTAAATAATCAGAAAAATGTTAGATATATTCCATTTTTATAGAACATTGAAAAAAATACAGCTATCTCGATAAAAAAAGTACATTTCAATCCGCCAAAAATGCATTTGTTTGAGTATTTTCAATCCATTTTGTATTATCACTCTTTTTAAAATATTACGCACCATGCAAGCATATGACGTGAACCTGATCAAATACAATTAACTTAAACCTTTGTTATTGTTCTCTGTAAACTAATAAAATCAACTATGTTCATGAGATAAATTGAATTCTAATTTACTTTATTCTCCAGTGTATTTGTTTCTTCTAATAAATATAATCCGAAATGATTTATTACCTCTCCGACTAGTTTGTACCAGATGTCTAACACTTACAAGAATTGTTTACGTACTCTAAAGTTTGCTTGGTTTTCAATAAGCAGATTGCAATTTAATCAATCATAAACAGACTCCATTAATAAAAAATCGATTGTCCAACTGTTGAGGATGTTAGATCCCCAGAACTCGCTTGATGAATGTCTTAATTTCGAATTTTATGGACTGATCAGTTGACCTTGAGATCACATTTTTGACCAGGAAAATTCTCGGCTGTGATTGGTCACTGTGTTATTTTAGTGTGCTATTTTTGTGGCTCTCCCAAAAACGTTTGTATGATGTATGAATAAACGCGATTTGTGTGCTTGAGATCATTGTGTTTGCTGGGCGTTTGTAGAATAGACTTTCTACGCTATATCAAGACTTTTTCGTCAATTGGGGTAACGGGTCAGAGTAGCCTACCGTGTCACTGGTTCATTATTTTGTAATCCTTTATCGACTAAGGTGAACTCGTAATAGTTTCAAGCATATCAAGTGACGAGCATAACGCCAAAAATAGTGTATATTTTTTCCATGCTAATTTCTTGTTTAATTGTTTCGTTAACTTAAGATTCTCTAAAGAATATGTTCTAGATAAGCACTTGATAAATGTGATCATTTTGAGATGATTGGTTGTTATTCATATTTTTCCTGATACTGTATATTGATTTTCATTGACATCCGCTTCCACCTGACTTTTGACCGTGTATTTTTCCCGAATTTTCCTGATTGGTTGATAAGCTGAGTCGATTTTGGTGTTTATTTATCGTGGAATTACAATGAATCCAAAGCTTATAAATGTACTTTGATATCTTTAGTATTTTATCTGTTGACGATTTTAACATTTCCTAGTCAAACATGTGGCTATGATCGACTCCGTGCATTCAATCAATCAATCAATAGCAACGTAGAACTTCGTACGTACGTACATCAGTTCATGTTGCCATACCACGTTAGAGCAGAGATGTAATTGTCAATTCAAATCCAATAGTAGTAGAGGTATTAGCACTAGTCGGAGAGGTTAGGATTAGAAGATATTATTCAAAAAGTAGAATCTAGTAAAATGGTCTTAGAAAGATAAAGATAAAGTGATGGAGAATTAAAAAGTTTAGGATTTGAAAGAACACAAAGAATGAATGCACCTGTGTGTTGTAACGCTTGTTTGAATAATTTCCGGCTAATTCCTATTGCTTAGTATTCTCTGACCACAATACACTGGACAAGTTTCAAAGAATCAAGAACACGGTGGAACAGGAAAGGATTATATTCCTAATAGCAAGGTTTGATGGAAATACGAAGACGAAGGCGAAGGCAAAATAGATACAACGTTAGTATCTTTATTTTTTTAGATGAGATGCTTCTGGACAGTAATTCACGTGATCGACTGGATTAGATCTAGCCAATCAGCATGCAGCTAACAACACGAGGCATACGCAATACATGTCCCAACCACCTCAACTGATATGCGCATAGGTACATCTTGGTGGTTGATAGCTAGTTGATGTTGTCTACCACACCCGATAAATTTTTCTCTCAGTTAAAGAAACTTATTTTGTGTGTTTAGCTTTTCTCCTTTTCTTATCTCATCCTTTGGTTTGCTCAAGATTAATTGAAGTGATTTGGCTTGCTCATGCTCTACGCCTACTTCAAACCATCTCAACAATCTTGTTGTGATCTCGAATATGCCCTATATATTTGAGGCAATGATCCATTTGTTGGTTTATGCTGTTCATTTTTTCCAATCAGCCATTATCTAAATTTTTACGGGTCGACTTAAATCATTTACTTGGTATTATACAAACATAAAGATGAGCATAATTATTTTTTTTTATGTGTTCTACTTATATCCCTTATATATCTGTCAATTTAAACGATACTTGGCGCTTTATAACATTCTTATGTTCAAACTAAGTGCTTCTCAGGCAGGAATTATTTCTAAAGTGAAAGTAAATTACTTTTAACTTTGTTCTATGATACCTTTCTGCTCTTTACATTCTCTCCGCACGCGGATGATTAAGATCTGGATTGTGATGATGATTGCGGAAGTAAGAATTTAAAATTATGACTGGTGAAGGAAGTGTTGTGAACATTTTCCAGTCCTGGCATTGAAAGATTTGGATATCTAAGTTTATTCTGTCACTGTGATATTCAGATAAATTTATGTTTTCATAAAGCAACCGACGAAGCAATTAGTTTTTGTGTTCAGCGAAATGACTTCATTAAAAATTAGATGAAGAACATTTACTTTCTTTCTTTCAAAAAGTTATCTAAATCGTGTCGAAATTAATGACTAGCTAGTCATAAGTTAAGTGACTTTAAATTCGATATTCCGATATTTTATTAGAAAACCGTGACCAATAGAACTAACCAATTCAAAAGTGAAGCTGTTACTGAACGACCGACAGTACTGAGTAACACTGGCGCTTCTTTATCAATTGACTTAGATTGAAAATGTGAACTATTGAATAGTGACCCAGAGGACTTAATATGTTGTGCTTTCTGAAGTATGCAGACATCCTAATTTCCGTCCATTATGGGTTGTCACTTGCACATTGTCAAAGATTCTCCGGCCGTGACAACCTTTGTTCATTACGGCTTCGACAATTTCTGTCAGTTCATCGTTGAAACTCCCTTCAAAATAAACGCATCTCTATGAACCATCTCACTTAACAAACAAGCACACTTTAAGGGGGTCACCACTCGCTGTTAGTAACGCAGAAGGACGTCGTTTTTGCTGAGCTTTATGGTTCAGTTTCTTCAAGAACTCTTCCTTGATAAGAGATGCCAAAGCTGCAGTGTCTAGCAGTATTTCAATCGCAATACCTTGCACTCTACCTTTAAGGTTAATCGGGCAGATATGATTAGTATGACAAGAAGATAAACAGTAAAGACACGGCTCACCTGGGTTACGGAATCGGTTATGACTAGACCTCCAAGTATTCCTACAAAAACGCCTGCAGTAGATACATTCAGTTTGACGACCCCATGGTAGTTGTTCCATGACGGCCGTCTATTCCACGAGTTTGACTGCCCACAACTACCTCTGCTGGGAATGTGTGCAATAGCTGTTGCCCCCGAGAAACTATCCAAGTGACTAGGTTCTATGGCTGGTTCCACCGTCATCACCGAATGTTGACTGGCTTTTGATGACCCTGACAGTCTGTTTGCAGTAATAAACCCAAGCGCCGTTCTTTTCAAATCGGTGTTATTGATCGCTGTCATTCGGATTTGGTGTTCTCTTAGTGGGCCGTGAAACAGCCCTTCAACAAAACGGGATCGTACCAATTCATCTCGTCCCCTGGCATCCAAATTGGAAGACACTTGGACAGTAATTCGCTGTAAACAGTCAAGGTATCCTATAGGATTTTTGCCCGCAACAAGAATTGTATAGTCACCTGCTGACTATCCACAGGTAATGAAATACTGTCATCTAATATATTCCAATTTTGGGCTAGGGAGTTGCTTACTGCGAAGCCATATGCTGTTACTCTTTTTACTGTCTCATCACTCAGGTACGATACAAGGTAATCAAAATGTTCTGAGGCTGGCACTTTGCGCACATATGCTACCACTCTAAATTTCCAAACAGCATAATCTGATGAAGTTTCCAATAGTGGTGGTTGACGAAGGGTTGCTCTGGTTGTTGCCTTGACTGGGAGCACCAGGTGTTCGCCTTAGTTTGCGTCGAGTTTTCCAGTAACCACATCCATCAGCAGTTGTAACACGTGTAATCGGCAGTCACTGAAGCGCGGAGAAGATCTAAAACCACAACATACAATGTTAGCTAAGCACTTCACAACGATAGAATACGGAGTGGTAGCCACGGGACTTTTATTTGGAAATGAAATAACGCGGGCTAAGTACAGAAAAAAGGATCGCTTGTCCTTCGTGCACTGCTATTCACACCGCCACCACCACCAGCAGGTCCTAAACGTCTAAATGATCGTTTGATAGGCATATTATTTAAATTTAGTTCAATCCTTGAATGTAGCTGAAGTTACATAGTTGGTTTTTAAAAGTCAGGCTAGTGTTGTATCTGAGGTTCATTACTCCACAAGATTTCCATCACCAAGTTAGACTTGATATAGCACAAAAAAGCTAGGGCTTGCCGGAGTTGCTAACAACTAAGTTTGTATGCAAGCTTGATTAATTTAG